GTACAAATCAGGAGTGCATCCCTGCTAAAACACCCCAGACAGAAGGCTGACTTCCCTCATTCAGTTCTGTAGAGGCTTATGATGATTCAATGGTCCAGGTGTGTTAGAGAAGGAACCATCTAAAGTTGCAGATGGTAGCTCTGGAAAACTAGACTTGGGCACCCCTAGCATAAATGTATAAAAATACAATGTTAAAAATAAATTAAACACCTCATATTGTTAAATAACTGATTTTATGTATTGAAGTTTTAAATATTACATTTGACTTTCCATGGATGTAAAATTACTGCTCAGTTTAAAAATTACAATATTTAAATCAGTGATTAAAGGTAACCAAGCAAATAATAAAAACAAGTCACATGGGCAGACATTATAGACTTTACGATAGATTTAGTCTCAGAGGCAACTGAAATCAATTAATTAAAAAAATCCTTTCTGAATATCATCTCATGGTCTCTGAACTAAATGCCTCTTTCTGACCGGGAGCTGACAGCGTGTTGAAGAGTTATGGACCGGACGCTTTGGAGCGTCTGGTTAGGAAGCGCATTACAAACCTTTGGTTGAAATGGCGCGTTAAATTCAAGTCTCCATTACAGACCAGAGAAAACTAAAGAGAATGCAACGTTGTGTTAATCCATTTGGGGAGCCGGCAGTTTATCTTGAGGAAATAAATGACGATGCAAAAGTTAATTAGACTGTAACATGCGCAGTCCGCTGCTCAACCACTGTGGACACGGCTCCGCCACTGCGAAGACTTAGAAACCACTGGGAGTAACTCATCCAGTTCAGTTGATCCGTTTGGATCAGACAGATCCAACTGACTGATGAATTAGCGCAGATTTTTCTGCAGATGGAAACCAGGAGGAAGTGCGCTCAGACCCCAGCGGGTGAAGTGATGCTAATTTAAGTGAAGTCGCTTAATTTAATTTATTAAAAGTTATTGGGGCCTCAGTCAGTGGTTTTTTTCACTACGAGAAAAATGTAGATACATTTATCTGCTTAATTTGTGATGGGATCTGGATTCATGGTGAATATTAACTAAACCGCATAAAATGCGACTAAATAGCCGATGTTAATATGATTGTAATTTCACGGATAAAATAGTACCTGACCGATTTTTTTTTTATGTTGTCGGTCAAGATAACGTCTAGTGCGACCTGCCGCCCTGACACCAACTCACACACATCTTCATCCACAGTCTTACTTGTAAATCGATTTTTCTTTTCTTGGACGTTTTGATGTTAGCTTGTCCATGTCTCAGTTTTATTCGCTGGGAAAATCAATAAGCAGCTTGAGGTGACTCTGCTGCTCTCTAGAGGCGAGAAGCCGTAATGTTGGCTGGGAACAATCGGAATGCATTATGGGAAATGTTGTTTGTAGTCAATTCGTGCTCAAAACATATTTTAAGTCTTGAGTTTGAAACATGCGCCATGGACGGATGGATACATGGATGCTTAATTGTTTGTTTTCCAGGTTGTAGTGTGATAAATTGACCGCCAGGTGCCAGTAAATCCTCTGTCTGTTCCTCTGTCGCCGCCGCTGAAACGTTTATTGGCTGTAAGTGAACTTCTTCCGGGAGATCAGCATCTGTCATTTAAAGTTTATTTTCTGTTTGCTCCTGAACTCAGCGCATCCTTCAGCCGCGCTGCAGCCTGGTCCTTCCCCCTCCAGCAGTCTCTTCCCTCTGGGGGTTGGAAAGGATCAGTGTAATATCTGTCCACCAGCTGTTGCAGCTTCCTCCGCTCGCTGCGCCTTGTCAGCGGAGCGCCGAGGGAGCTTTACCGCCAGCAGGTGACTGATGTCCGCCTGAAATGTCAGGCCTCACCGGCAGCCACATCCAGACTCACCTCAAGACCAGCTCCGCCATGCTGGAGGCGGGCTGCTCCAAATGAAACAATCCCGCAGGTGGTAAACATCAGGGAAGCAACTCGGTCATACAAGAGGATTAGAGCCATGAAAATTATGAGTTTTATGTGACTTTTTTCTTTCTGACTTTAACTTCAGAATTCTGACCTTAATTACAAAATTCTGACTTTTTTTCTCCTCAGCATTTTGATTTTAAACTCAGAATTTTGCCTATATTTCTCACTATTACAACTTTTAACTGACGTAGGATAGGCAAGCATAAGCCTTGGCTTCAGTCTGCTAATTTTTGGTAAATTATTGGCTTGCAAAATAATATTTTGTTCCGTTTTGTCTTTTGTAATGCTGTTAATTTACCAAAATAAATAATCTAAATCTAAACTCAGAATTCTGACATTAAGCTCAGTGCAGAAATCTAATTTTTTTTCTCAGAATTTTGACTTTCCATATTTTCTTTTTACTCACATGATCATAAAATATTTCCACTTCTCCATGTGAGCAGGTACAAAGGTCTGAGGCTTGACTTGATTTGCTGTATCTGCTTCACAAACTTGTTTTGTTTTCCAACCTGTTATTTGCTGTCAGAGTTGTATGGTTGAAATAAACAGGAAAACATGGAGCAGTTGATTAATTTTTTTTATTAAATTTACTGTAAATGTTTTAAAAGAATCAAACTCCTAAAACTTCCCAGTTTGGTTTTTAAATCAAAGGAAAATAAAGCCTTTTAAGATAGTGACTGAGTTGACATTTTATGTGTGCTGTTTTCATCAACTCTGAAGCAAAACTAATCACATCTTTCCTCGTAGGATTGATTGTTGCTTTTTTATTTTATTATTTTGTCAGTGCAGAAGCTACAGCTTGACAAACGATCAGCTTTCATAATTGAAAGCAACACAAACAGGTTAAATTTCTGCATCTCCAAGAAAATAAATGAATAAATCATAAGATTAATCTCTGCTGGGGCGATACTGGATGTAACCTTTCACATAAACTCTGCAGAAACCCGAGTCTCGGACATGAAGACATCTTTTCCTCCAAGGTTATTTCAGCAGGACATGAATTTGTTTTTAACGCTTGTTTCTTTTTCTCATCCTCTTAGAAAACCCTGATTTTCTACCAACCCGAGTTCGTCTCTGAAGCTTCAAAAATATCTCTTCTGCTCCTCTAGAGGGGGAACTCTTTTCCATCTTTAGATGTTGACTTTATTTAATGTATCTCCATTCATAATGTTTGTGCCCTTTTCCCCCTTTCATCAGTTTAAATAATACAACAGTCAGACCATCAAAGAGTCGCGTTCTGATGCAACCTGAAGCAATGGTCCAGTTAAAGCCAGAATCTCTCGTCTCTGCGGCGTCCAGAGCCAGCGCCGGGTTTCATCACTGCTTTTTGTTAACCTTGTTTATCTTTAAAGAAGTCGTTCTTCTGAAGATCCACACTGGGAGGGAGAAACCAGCGCGTTACACTGTAAAAAAGTAACAGCAAAATTTGGTTTATTTAGCCTGTCAGAGAAAAAATAACTTTTCAGACATATTTTCACCACGTTGTTCATACATTTCTAAATATCAGAGTAAATATTTAATTCACAAGCTAAATGTTTATTTTACGAACTACATATTTAGCTTTCAAATTAAATATTTAGTGAGTAAACGAGATATTTAGTTTGAAAAATGAGTAGCTAGTTTAGAAGTAAACATTAAGTCAGAAAATAAATATTTAATTTGAAATTAGAATTTAGTTTGAAAAGTAAATATTTAGTTGGGAAATATTTAGCTTGTGAATTAAATATTTAATTTGAAAGCTAGATATTCAGTTTTCAAGCTAATTATTTATTTTGCTAACTAAATATTTTGTTCCAAACTAATTATTTAATCACCAAACTAAATGTTTGCCGTCCTATCTAAATATTTGAGTTGAAAGCTAAATAAGTAGCTTAAACTAAATATTTAGCTTGTGAATTAAAATATCTAGTGTGGAATGCTGACATTTATAAATGTTTGAATAAAATGGTGAAAATATAACTTTGAAAAATTAATGTCCACATTTTTTTTCTATGACTTGCTAAAAAACCCAAAATATAGCTGTTAATTTTTTACTGTGTAACTTTACAAACAGCAGTCTATTTTTATCTGGCTGCTCTGACATGTTTTATTTGCTCAGGTTGTATTTATGGACGGCCTGCTGCATAATTCTGGGACAAACATGCATGAAAAAGCAAAAAGCGAACGAACGACAGACCAGAAGGACACAAATCACAGCCAGTCCAGAGCTTTCTGAAGGCTGGAGTTCCAGTGTGAGCTGATATATGGGGAGGCAGATCCCTGGTGTTTTATGCCTGGTAAGGAGCAACCTTGTAAAAAATCCCACCTTTAATGATCAGCATGCTCCCTGACTGCTGGGATAATAACTGCAGCTGAATTCAATGTCTTTCTGTGGCTAAAACACAAAATGTTTCTGTTATAGCGTAAAGTTATCGGCTGATTAACTATTATATGATTATAATTAGTGTGTTTTTGTTTGCGTAAGCAGCAGTAAACCCGTATACAAGAAATACTGCAGGAAGAACCAGGTTGATGCTGTTTATGTTCTGTTGTGAATAAAATGTTGTTTTCTGTGATTTGAAAGTCTTTTAATTTTAATTTTTTATAGATTTATGACCCTTTTCAGTCTCTGTTTTCTGAACAGGTCATTGTTGAAAATGAGAATTTGTTCAACTAACTGGTTAAATAAAATTAATTAATAAAATAATATGAATAAATAAATCAATTACTGCGTTTCTCATCTGTTCTTCAGATTGAGACATGATATGAATGAGAATACTTCATGTTGTCAAGCAGGTTAAATTTAAGTAATTTATTGATTCTGCAGATCAGTGTTACTTTTTACATCGATGAAATCCTCAAATTAAATCTGATTTTTATTAGGGCCTGGACCTTAATGCGCCGATTTATATTGGTAAGTAATATGGATTTAAAAGTAAGACAATTTATTTTTTTTTATTTTTTTTGTTAGTTTTAATACAAACTTTTGGAGCCGGAACCTTTGTGGTGTGTTTCTGGTATACCCATAAATCTGACGCACAAGCGGCATCCGCTTAGAACAGATGGAAGAAGTCGCCTCTTTTGGCCCGATTTAGATTAATTTCTGCTTCTAAACTGATTTTATTGGACGCTGGAAAATACTATTCTTGTGTTAAAGTTGTACTTTAAGGTATTTAGCATAAAATAGCATCTCAGTGCTAAACATGTAGCAGATAACGCTAATGTTCACAGTCCACATTTCTAAAGAAGCTCCATTTATAATCAGTGCTTCCTGAAATTCTGGAAAGATGAACTTTGCTCCAATCTGATGGTTAAATTACCTAAATAACAGTTTAAAAATGATAAATATCTTTGTTGTTGGGCTCGTATGTCTATTTATTTAACAATTTAGCAACAAAAAGGGGTTTTGAATCAAAAATTCTGCTTATTTTGTCAGTTTAACTCAATTAAAAATATTTAATTCTGTACTAATTTTTGTATTTAAGTTGAAATAATTGTGAGAAAAAAGTAGCTGTTAAAATGAATAGAAACAAACTGAGATGCCCAAACAGAACGGAGTTCAGTCTGGTTCCCTTCAGGAGGCAAAAACAAGCCACTGACTGTTACTATCTGGAAATAAAGTGTTTGATTATACTCACCTCGTGATGGAAATGCAGAGACTTTCACTCCTGTTCCTCCTTCAGACCGCCTGTTGATTGTGTTTCTAACCTGCAGCATGTTTATGCTGCTAACAACTGCGCCGTCGTCAAAGGAGAAGGTCACGCAGTCAGTCAGTTTGTTTGTGCTGCTGACTGAAATCTGCAGTTCCACCTTGAGATGAAGCATTGCCATCATCAGGCCTCATTAGGCTCAGGAGGCGCAGACAGGACTCTAATGCTTTCTCCAAGGACTGTGAAAGAGCCGTCCTTCATTTGGCAACGAACAACAGGTTTGTGTCATCGCTGCACAAGAGCATCGTGTTTTACCAGAATACGTGCGTGGTCATTACGCCCAAAACGTGACGCACATTTTTGAAACTTCCAGTTTCAAAAATATTTTTTTATTCCATTTGTTTTCAGTTTCAAAACTGAAAAATTTTTTTCAATTAATTTTTTTTTTCCTTTTTCTAATCTTTTTCTCTTTAAAAAATATTGAGCTAACTTTATGGACCCAATTTAGCTGTATAAAAACTTACACAAATTTCAACTCGTCTTCCAGACTCTTGAACTTTGATTTCTGAATGAAATTCAAGATTCATTTCCATCTGAGACGAGGACTTCAGACCTCAGAGCAGCCCTCACTAAGCTCAGTGTTACGTTAATAGTCTGTTGCTTTAATATGTAACCACTAGACTATAACCTAAAAAAGTCGACGTCATACAAAAATTCCCAAACTCTTGAAAGGGTTTTTCTTCACAGTCCTTTCAGTCTGCAGTTAGAAACTTTACAGGAACTGAATTGGACATAGAGAGAGAAAACACAAAGTGTTAAAACGTTTTCTGCTCGTTTTACATCAGAGAACATTAAGATCCGGCACAAACCGGCAGTTTGCAGCCAAACGGCACAGAGCTTTGCAACTTGTGTTTGGATTAACGTTGACCCCAAATCCCCCCGGTTACCACGGCGATTCTCAGCCAATTTAATCCCTGCTGTTTACAATCCACCAAAGCATTACACAACTCAAACAGTTTCCTCCGGCGGCATCCTTCTGTTTTCTCTATCGGATTACTTACTTTAAATCTAAATTCATCAGATAATCTCATCAGATTATTTTCTTGAAGTTGCTGCTTTTTATTACAGCAACCAGAGACTCAGCATTAAAATACATTCCAACTTCTTAATAAGGTTAATAAATCAAAACTAATATATGTTATATTGTAAAGGTTTAACTGCATTGCCCAGAAAAGGTGGGAATCACCATGGCAACCATCTTTTCCTGAGATGTAGCCGTTTTAGTGACATTTAAAACTTTTCTGAATTTTCTCTGCTGCTGCTGTTCTGCTCTTTGGCATTTCTTTATATCCATTAACTTCCTGCTACAGCAGATCCTGATCATCCAAATTTAAACCAACTCAACTGCTAACGTCTTAAAAATACTGAAAATCGTTGGACACCGGACAGACAACGTTGACTCTTCACACAGACGTGTGACGGACTTCAATCAGTCGCTCACATGTTAGACTGACATCATTTATTTTGACAAAAACAAACAGCATCTGTCACGTTTAATCCGTACGTTTCCATTTTATCTCTGGTCCAGTTCTGCTGTTGAGCGGGGTCCGCTGAGGAAAACGGTCCGGAGCCTCCAGGCCTCAGCACTGCTCCTCCCCCAGAGAGTCTGTGTTCTCCCCCAGGTCTATGGAGGCCGACGTTCCCCTCATTTTCCCATGACCCGGAGCCGGGCCGGGCCCGATGAGACCGGCTCTGGGGTGGCCGGGGTAGACCTCCACGGAGCCGGAGACGGACTGCAGAGAGCGGTCCCGGAAGTAGTGGAAGGCCTCCTGGTCCAGGTAGCTCTGCTCCTCGCGCAGGCCCTGCTCGAACAGCTTGCGTTTGTGTCGGAACTCGATGACGGTCTTGGTGTAGGAGTTGAGGGTGGTGACGGAGGCGGCCATGCAGCAGGTGAAGGAGCCCCACGCCATGCTGGTTGGAGACGCAAAGAGAAAATCAGTCAGAGTCAGAGTAAGCTAACAAACAAACTGCGATTACCTTCCAACGTTCAATTTCCCAAGCAACTCTGCTGTCTGATCCTGCCTGACCTGTAGACTCGAGGATTTACTTAAGCAGAACCTGCCTGACGTCATGAAGTAGGCGAAAAGATCTCAAAAAGCAACACGTTCATCCCTGATCTAAGAAATTCAAGGAAGTCATTTACATCAGTCTGGAAATGGTTGCTGAGACATTTTTTTTCTGGGACTCCAGTAGTCCCAGTAGACATTACATCTGGTGGGACGTAATACCAGAACACGGTGGTGGTAGTGTGATGGTCTGGGGCTGGAAAGACTGAATGTGATAAAATCTGAAAAATGGATATGAATCTTTTTATTATATTAATAATTAATGTAGTACTTTTAAAGTGGTGCTGATGCAGCAGATGAACAACATCGGCTTCAGGACTTTTCATCCTGAAGGTTTCTGAGCAGAATGAGGGTCTGAAAGGACTGATGCTTCCTGGCACTAAATATCAGCTTAATAAAACCTGACTGCATGTCGTCAGAAACGCACGGCATGCGAGGTCGAAGGTTTATGGGAGGAGAGTATCAAGCAGATGAGGTTGTTCTCCCCGTCCTTGTTTGATGGGTGATTTGTTTGAGCTGCTGCTTGGTTTTACCAAAGAGCAGAGAGCTGTGAAGGTCTGACTGGATGATTATCGGAGCCAGCGGCCCTGTCACTCACCTGGGAGCTGAACGCCACTGCCTGCTAACCTGCACGCCTTCAGGTTTGGATGTTTTATCAGCCTTACAGACCACTCAGGTCTTCTGGATCCCCAGAATTCACTTTTTATGCCTCTCTAATCTGGAACAAACTTCAAAACAGCCAAAACACTGAGTTCCTTTAAATCACAGCTAAAAACCCCAAAAAGCTGCTTTTGATTAGTAGTAAGTAAGACATTGATCAACCTAATCGATGTGTATTTGCTTGATGGCATTTGATAAACTGCCATGTTTATTGCTCGTTTCATAATTTATGACTGTGTGATGTTTTTATGATGTAAAGAACTTTGAACTGCCTAGTTGCTGAAACCTGATACACAGATAAACTTGGCCTGACTTTATTTATGCCGTTCATTTGGTTAGTCATCTTCCAGGCTTTTCTTAACCCTGATATTCCTCCCTCTTCTTCCTGCTCAAACACACCTTGAAGCTGGGAGGAACCAACACCTGCTGAAGGTGAAAGCTGATTGGCTGCAGCCTCTCTGTATTGACACCTGATTTACAGATCAGAGCTCAACCCTGTTTCTGTCTCAGGAAGTGAAAATCACAGTCGCTGTGACTGAGAGCAGAAATGGAGCAGAATCAGCTGGACAGAGAAACTTTCTCCTGTTCGATCTGTTTGGATCTGCTGAAGGACCCGGTGACGATTCCCTGTGGACACAGCTACTGCATGATCTGTATTACAGACCACTGGGATGCAGAGGATCAGAAGGGAATCCACAGCTGCCCTCAGTGCAGGGAGACATTCACACCCAGGCCTGCACTAAAGAGGAGCACCATGCTAGCAGCTTTAGTGGAGCAGATGAAGAAGACTGGACTCCAAACTGCTCCTGCTGATCACCGCTATGCTGGACCTGAAGACGTGGCCTGTGAAATCTGCACTGGGAGGAAACTGAAAGCCATCAAGTCCTGCCTGGTCTGTTTGGTTTCCTACTGTGAGAATCACCTCCAGCCTCACCTTGATGTCCCTGGACTGAAGAATCACAAGCTGGTGGAGCCGTCCAGGAACCTGCAGGAGAACATCTGCTCTCAGCATGATGAGGTGATGAAGATGTTCTGCCGCACCGATCAGAAGTGTATCTGTGCTTTCTGTTTACTGGATGAACATAAAGGTCACGACACAGTGTCAGCTGCAGCAGAAAGGACTGAGAGGCAGAAAGAGCTGGAGGAGAGACGAGGAAACATCCAGCAGGGAATCCAGGACAGAGAGAAAGATGTGAAGCTGCTTCAACAGGAGGTGGAGGCCATCAATCACTCTGCTGATAAAACAGTGGAGGACAGTGAGAAGATCTTCACTGAGCTGATCCGTCTCCTCCAGAAAGGAAGCTTTTATGTGAAGCAGCAGATCAGATCCCAGCAGGAAACTGACGTGAGTCGAATCAAAGATGTTCAGGAGAAGCTGGAGCAGGAGATCACTGAGCTGAAGAGGAAAGACGCTGAGCTGGAGCAGCTCTCACACACAGAGGATCACAACCAGTTTCTCCTCAACTTCCCCTCACTGCCACCCAGGGAGCCTAAAGGCTCATCCAGCATGAACATCCGTCCTCTGAGACACTTTGAGGACGTGACAGCAGCTGTGTCAGAGCTCAGAGAGAAACTACAGGACGTCCTCAGAGACTCATGGAGAACCATCTCACTGATGGTCAGTAAGGTGGATGTTCTACTGTCAGAACCAGAACCAGAATCAATAACCAGAGCTGGATTCTTAAAGTATTCTTGTGAAATCACACTGGATCCAAACACAGCATACAGATACCTGGTGCTATCAGAGGGGAACAGGAAGGTGACACTTATAAAGCGACTTCAGTCTTCTTCCAGTCACCCAGACAGATTCACTAAATATTCTCAGGTTCTGAGCAGAGAGAGTCTGACTGGACGTTGTTACTGGGAGGTGGAGTGGAAAGGAATGATTTCTGTGGCCGTCGCATACAAGAACATCAGCACGGCAGGGCAGGGGAAGAAATGTGGATTTGCAGGTAATGACATATCGTGGGCTTTAGATTGTTCCAGTTCTAAATTTGGTCACAACAACATCTGGACTGACGTCTCAGGTCCAGTTTCCTCCAGAGTCGGAGTGTACCTGGACCACAGAGCAGGTCTTCTGTCCTTCTACAGCATTTCTGAAACCATGACTCTGATCCACAGAGTTCAGACCACATTCACTGAGCCGCTGCATGCTGGAGTTACAGTTGGTTGGTTTGGAGCCTCGGCAGAGTTCTGCAAACCCAACTAGCCTTCCTCTGTTGTCTCTGCTGTTGGTCAGGGTTGTTACTCTGTTGTCTCTGCTGTTCTGTACTTTGTTTTTCTGGGTTAAATGTTCTCATCACTGCTGATGTGTTGATGGAAATTTGAATAGCAGTGCTAATGTTAAATCATAATTGTAAAGAATGACAAGCAAATATTAATGCATGTCACACTGAATTATAAGTTATTTCTAATCTTTTGTTTTATTAGTTTCTTTTTAATTTTATAATTTTTTCTCATTTTTTCATATTTTGTATTTAACACATTTTTTTAATTCACTGTCACTTTTTGTTGCTTAATTTTTTCTCACTTTTTCATATAAATAGAAAATACAGTAAAAATAAATACTGAACATAAAAAAATTGAAAAAAATGACTGACATAAAAAGGAAGATAAGAAGTTCTTGTTTTGGGGATGCAATATTTGGCACATTATCTTCAACAAGGAATTTATTATTTCTATATTTTGTGCCACGTTTGGCAAGGCCAGCTCTCCACATTTTTTTTGTTCTATGCTAACAAAGATGTACAATAAAGGAGCTACCAGTCTTTGAAAAACTGAGAGGAACGCCCACATGAATAACTGCATAAATATCACAAATGATCAAAATATTACCTAAATTCCATTGCCAAAATAGTCAGTAAATTAATTCAAAATTAATACAAAAATCTACATTAAGAATTGTTTTTTATGTGTAAGCCTTTTTTTCTAATTCATAAAATGAATTTTTCTCCAGTTGCTGAGCATTAAGGTAAGTTTCAAGTGGAAGCGACTGACCAGAAGGACCAGCCGTAGTCCCAGCTGTGGGGCCTCCAGTCTTCGGGGCCCAGACTGACTGTGATCTGGAACACCTGCGTGTACATCATGTGGGCCACCATCCCCAGAAGGCCTGCAGAGGAAAACGTCATGTAGAGGAGTTCACATCTGGATTAGCATCCAACGGAAATATCTGACATTTATGGAACATTTAGCTTCTAAGGAGACCAAAATAAAGAAGCTCAATTCTTTTAAATTATATTCTAATATTTTATGCTTTTTGGGCTTTAGATGAACTCTGCACTGTTTTAAAAGCCAGAAAATACACAGTGTTTTTGCAGTGAGGGGTGAAGAATATTTATTTCTTAAAATATGTGAAATAAGAGAATTTGTAACTGAAAAAAAATATATATCCAATGAAATTATAGCAGCAAAGCATCTGAAAGGCTTCCCCAAAATATATTTATTGAGTTTCATTTTATTAAAGAATTTTGTTTACGATCCCTTCTTCATGTATTTTTTTATATTAAAACATTTTATGGTATTAAATTTGCATATGGTGACAGTTAACAAGGCTCTAAGTTACATTTAATTTCTGACTGGATCATTAGTGGGATCACAGCAGCAGTAAATCTCTGCAGCCTCAGTAATAAATCAGAACGTTTCCTCAGAATTACGCTGAATAAACTGATTTAATGATCAGCCATCAAATCAATTAGATTCAGACGTCCGATCACTTCCAGGATTACAGCAAATCAAAAGGAGAAGGTGAAAGACTGGATCAGTCAGCTGGGCTGGTTCTGCTGCAGGCAGAGGGACGCGGGTCGGCCCGTTTCTGACCCGCCTCAGGGTTTGGGTTGGCCTGGTTCTGATCCGCCTCAGGGTTTGGGTCTGGTTCTGATCCGCCTCAGGGTTTGGGTCGGCCCGGTTCTGATCAGCCTCAGGGTTTGGGTCCGGTTCTGATCAGCCATCAAATCAATTAGATTCAGACGTCCGATCACTTCCAGGATTACAGCAAATCAAAAGGAGAAG